ACACATTACCACTTGTATTAGTTTGTTTTCTGTTACCTACAACAGAATACCTGAAACTGGGTCATTGACAAAGGAATTTGTTAGTTATGGAGGCTGCAAAGTCCCAGGTTGAGTCCACATCTGGTGGGAACCTTCTTGCTGGTGGGGACCTTTGTGGCATCCTGAGGTGGGAAATATTCATATCGACCCCCAGGAAACCGATTTAACAGGGGGCAGCAGTTCTCTTTCCCCCTAGTCCTTCATCCTGCTGCTTAGACTATGGATGTGATGGCTGGACTCCAGAAGCCACACTGAAACAGAAGGATGAGCTGGAAGGATCCCCGGTCTCATAATTTCATGGAACCGTCACACCAGTCCTGGAATACCTACTTCCCAAAGTATTTTATATAAAATAAACTTATCTTGCATACCCACTGTCTTAGTCAATTTGGGCTGCTATAACAAAATGACTTAGACTGCTTAATTTATAAACAGATTTATTGTTCACAGTTCTAGAGGCTGACAAGTCCAAGATCGAGGTGCCAGCAGGTCTGGTGTCTGGTGAGGAGCTCACTGCCCACAGATGGTACCTTCTCATGGCATTCTTACACAGTAGAAGGGCAAGAGGAGCGAACAAGTTTCCTCAGGCCTCTTTTATAAGAGCGAGCACTAATCCCATTCACAAGGGATTTGCCCTCATAACCTAATGACCTCCCAAAGGCCCCATCTCTTAATACCAAACATATTAGGGGATTTCAACACATGAATTTTAGACACAAACATTCAGACCACAGCACACATAGCCCACAGCAACTGTGTAATGAGGGAAACTTAGGAGAAGCCGGGGAAGGGGAGGGGATTTCATTGAAGAAGTTGGTATTGAACTCATCAGTTTTGTTTGAGACAGGATCTCACTCTGTTGTCCTGGCTGAAATACAGTAGTGTGATCATAGCTCACTGCAGCCTCAAACTCCTGGGCTCAAGGGATTATCCCACCTCAGCCTTCTGAGTAGCCGGGATTACAGGCACACACCTCCATGCCTGGCTAATTTTTAAACATTTTTTTTTTAAAGATGGGGGTCTATTTTCCCAGGCTGGTCTCGAACTCCTGACTTCAAGCAATCCTCCTGCCTCTTTTCAAAGCACTAGGATTTACAGGTGTGGACAACTGCACTTGGTCCCAGTCTTTCTGGTTTTACTGGTAATTCAGCCCCCGCCCAGACCCCACTATAGAGAAGCGGGGCTGACTGAGGGAAGGAATGGGCTTAGCCAGGTCTACTCTCAGGGATAGAAGGAGAGCAAGAAGCCAGCACTGACCTGGCCTGGGAAAGTGATGGAGGCTTCAGACCCAGCAAGACAGAGTGCGGATTCTCGCCTGCAGCACCACTGCTTTTTCTGAAGCAAGCTCTTTAGAGTTCCATGGTGTGACAGCTAAGTCTCTAACCCTCTCAATGCAACAGAGCAGGGAACGTTTTGGACACAATTTGGAAAGCATATTCCTGTGGGGAGGGGATTATTTTTGTTTTGTGTGGTTTTTGGCTAAGAAGCAAGTTATTATCAAGAGCAATTGCCAGTTATATACTTCACTGCTTCTGGCCTATATCCAGGATCTCCATTCGGCCAGTCAACGATGACGGGTGTTCTGGCAGAGATCCAGGACCAGCCAGTAACAGAACTACCCGGATCAACATCTATAACATCGTTTCAAATTGCAAGCAAAGTTAATTCCCCTGTTTCTCTGAGGTAAGGGGAAGAACTTGCACATTTGTGTGTGTGCCGCATTCTGTGGAGATGGACCAGTCTCACTGAGTACTGCCCTCCACCCACTGCTGAGCCTGTATGATCCACCCAGGTAGCACAGAGCACGGTGGCTGACAGCAGACTCCGGAGGCAGTTACCAGGCTCAGCCCACCCCTGACAGTTAGCCGGCTGCCCTTATACAAGTTAGTCTACCTTGGGCGTCTGTTTCCTCCTCTGCAACATGACAGTCACAATAGTAAGTTCCTCCCAGGGATGCTGAGAACACTACACGAAGCAATGTACAGAAGGGACGAGTATCACTACCGGCTCCCTCCAGCAGAATCCTGGGGTTTAAGCAGGACCCAATCTTGCAATCTCAATGTCCAGCCAGTGATCTCTGTCTTCCATTCTCCTCCGAGGCAAACCATCTTGGCCCTTAGGCGTCTTCTGCCTCATACTGACGTGTGGGTATCCCGGGTAACTACCAGGACTGCATCCCCCTCAAGGGTAAGGACTAGGTCTGATACTCATCTAGTGGACACTCAAATATTTTGCCAGTTATATTATTAAGAATTTTATTTTTGAGCATTCTATATACATTTACAAGTGTACATATGGTGTATTTCATGTACATGGATTAGGAAGTTCTTCAAGGGCAACATTCAGTGCCCACTGGAAAATTTTCTACAAGAGTAGAGTCTGGAAAATAACAGATCAACTTAGGAGACTAAAACTATACACTGATACGAAGAATGGATATAGGTTTTCTCAATCCAGAACAGTACCCTCACCCCCTCTGCCCTCCCCTCTCCTAGATGGTCACCATAGGGCAGTAAAGTTTAATCAGTCAAGCACAGAGCTTCAGGGCGCGGGCACCCAGACCGTGACGGAGAGAAGGAAAGAGCAACAAATAAACAGGCAAACTGGTAGTTGGCTACAGCCTGGGTATAATCCCATGGCACCTTCTTCCACCCAGACTGGGGATGTCCCGGCAGCCCGAGTAAGTGACGGGCCTCCTGACTTCTCCACAGTGAACTCAATCTCCTTGCCTCACAAGAACGTCAGAGAGGTCCTCTGTTCCTTCCAGCTTTAGATTCTGAGGGAAGACCAAAACATGCATGGACTTTGGTATACTGAGAATAAAAGAATCATCAATTCCAATCACAGTTACAAGATAGTGACTACAAAAAAGAAAGTTTGTCCCATGATTATAAGAAAAACTGTTTCATAGCAAGTATAACTTGCATGAAAAAACTGATTCCCAATCCTTGTTACAACAGAATGACTTAGGTAAAAAAGCAAAAAGCAAGCCTTCTCTGGCTCTGGTTCCTGCAACCCACCCCCTATAAAGGGCCTAAGAGCTGAGCTGTCTGCCCTGAAGATGCTCATGGAGGCAGATGGGAGGTCATCAGGGGCCACAACACATACATATAGTCATTCGTCCCCCCTCATCCTTGAGGGGTGTTCCAAGGCCTCTGGTGGATGCCTGAACCCATGTAGTACCAAATCAAATACAACACATGATTTTTATATATATGTATACACAAACATACGTTTTTCCTATACACATACACTTATGATCAAGTTTAGTTTATAAATTAGGCACAGTAAGAGATTAACAATAACTAATAATAAAATAGAAAAATTAAGTCAAGTAAGAGGGAGTGGAACACAAGCACTGCAGTACCGCAACAGTTGACCTGGGAACTGAGATGGCTGCCAAGTGATTAATGGGAGAGCTGTGTCTGCAGTGTGGAGCCGGTGGACACAGGGACAGTTCAGATCTGGGGCAGGATGGAGCGGGACACTGTGACATTTCATCATACTACTCAGAACAGTTGCAACTTAAAACTTATGAACTCTTTATTTCTGGATTTCCACTTAGTATTTTCAGACCATGGGTGACTGTGGGTAACTGAAACCATGGTAAGTGAAATTGTGGAAACAGGGGCACTACTGTATTAACCCCATCCATGCACACCTCCTCCAGGCACCCCCAACTGCCCCACTGCCCCATCCCTCCATTAGTTCCCGACAGCAGTGCCCTCCTGCCAGTCTCTGCGCAGGCCTTTCCCTACCTATCTCCCAGCTCCTCCCCAACCCCAGGCAGTGTTTCCCTCAGGACTAAGCAGCTGTGAGACGCCTTTCCTGACGAACTTCACCACAGCCAGCCTGCCCTGGCTCTGCACCGGAGGCAGATGGGATGTGCCAGGGCTCAAGAGCCACTCGCACCTTTCCTTGCCACTGAAGACGGAGCGCTCAAGTCACACCTCGCAGGTTTTCTGCAGCTCAGGGTCTGGAGGTGGCACACTGCTGGCACGCAGAGCCACGAAGGCAGAGGGCCTCCCGTCCGTCACCGGCTCCTAAGCCCCACACCTGCCTGGCTATGTGAGGGGAGACTGTTATCACAGTGGTGGGGGAACAGACTCCGGACAGGAGTGAAAGGAGGAGAGAAAGAAGTCCAAGAGGAGGTCAAGTTCTGCTGTGAAGTGTCGAGAATATTTCTCTTGGTGGCTCTAAGCTCCGAGTTATCACAGCTCCCTGTAGATCATCACAGTAACTGTTGTGGCCAATGTTCCAACCCCATTTTCTCAAACAGCCCAAAGCCAGGCCCCAGCAATGGCCTTGGCGCTCAGCCTCACAAGTCATTCTTCAAACCCCAAGAGCTCCGGGACCCTTAAAACAAGACTTGATCACGGCAAAATGAACGAGGCTGGACTGCTACTGAGGGCAGGGGTGCAGAGCTGGGGTCGGAGCAGCACGGCCTCAGTGAAAACGACCTCAGTGAAGCCGCAGAGTCACTAATGTATCTTAGCAGCGTTGTCCTGGCCTGCTCCTTAAGAAACAAGTGAGGGCCATGAAGTCGCTCTCTCAAGGCAGGTTTCTGTGGAGACACACAGCCCAGAGAAGCACTCTGACCTTCAGGCTAGGGCTGATGAGCGAAGACAGTAACACTCTTAAATTGGACTCAGAAGGGTTTCTGAGCTTTGGAGACCAGCCTAGGAGCCTGGTGTGCTAGGAGACCAGCACCCATGTGGGAGAGTCACCGGCACCTATTTCCACCAAGATGGTGTGTGAATGAGATTCCAGGCCTCCCCCGACACTTCTCAAGTCAGACAGATGGATGGCCTGCACACCACCCACCTCAGATGGTGTATCCTCAGCAGAGCCACTTGTGAATTTGTCGGAACAATGATAATAGTATATTTTTTAATTTTTTATTTTCTTAGTCATTCTCTCTTCACGTAGTTTGCACGTGACATCGGATACCTTAGGATGTGTCAGGTATAGGAACTACCATCTCCTATAACCACGGGCATGTCTGCCTTCATAGGCTTGTGAACGAGGCACGTCCTCTCTCCACAGTCACCGGTCACCATCTTACTGCCCCCCAACAGCAGCCGTGCAAGTTCAGCATTCCTGGGTTAAAACCATTCCCACGGGCTCTGATGCACAATTGTTCCTTCTTGGGAACTAGGCTGGGCTCTTTTGTTTAGGCCTCAGGTTTGAGCACCCAGACTGGTGGTTACGAGCCCAGTGGTCAGCACAGTCGTCGGAGGCAGACAGCACTTGGTCCTGGCCCAGTGGCTCTTCTGTGCCTGTTCCCCACCCAGAATCAAAACTAGCTTCTGCTAACTGGACAGTTTCTTCTTCTTCAGGAGGTTGTGAGCTAAGCAAGGTATTGACAAGAGAAAAACTGGTCTCTGACTTCCAGTGGTAGGTCACTGGGACTGGCTGATGGCTGTGCCACACAGGCCAGGGCAATCTCTCTCTGAAGCAGAGTGAGACCTGGAAAATGGAGCTAGTCCTCACTGCTCGATTTCACTAGGAGGCCAGAGGTCACATGTTGGCACATACGAAATCCTGGATGCTTCCACCAGCACCCCATTTTTGCTACCATTCCATTCCCATAATCACCCTCTGAAACCACACTTCGGCATTCAGACAGTACCTGCACAGCAGTGCCCACCCCTCCTCCTGGGGAGCTGACAGTGACGGTGCACACCATGGCCACAGTGCCCCAGCCCCAGGGTGGCGCTTGCCGCACACGCCGTGGCCCAGCCCATAGCCTCTACTGCAGGTGCCAAAGGCTGCGCTGTCATCAGCTGGCTGGGGACCCTAATGGATACCAACTGCTCAGCGAGCGATGCCCAAACGTACTCTTTCTGCAACTGTTTTCTTTCCATCCTCATCTCTCTCCTCTTTCCTCTGCCATGTCTCCCATATGTCTTGACTTTGGTACAACCAGGCTTTGGCCTTTAAAGTCTTTGACACCCAGTGAAGTAAAAGCACATTGTGTTCTTAGGTTGGGGAACTCACCGATCACAATTCCGTCATCTAAAATCTTACCATTTGGGTCCTCAGTGCTATTTTCATTGCTAATTGAACCTAATGGGTTTTTCCTAAGTTACTTCTAGGTGCCTGGCTAATCATTTGGGTTGAAGGTACTACACAAGTCACGGTATTTAAGAAATCCTATGGTAGCCCATGCAAGATCAAATAAAAAGCTAAATGACTTGACATAAACAGGGAATACTCTAATATTCCCATGCTTACCTTAATTACCTACCTTTTCATTGGCTAAATGTAGGAGACAGGCAAAAGCCAGAGGTATGGAGAGGTTCTGAGCCATGACAGGGGGCAGGCTGGAAAGAAAGGGGCAAGTGTTTAGGTCACTGCAACTGTTAGAACAAAGGCTCATTCATCAAGTATGAATAATTCACACAAACAATGACTAAACTAATGAGAAACAAATCTTTCAGAAGCATTTTATAAGCAGATTTTTCTAGTTTCTTATTTGAGATAAAATATCTCCTGTTAGACTCTGACCAGTGGCACCGAAAAACACCTTTTTCAAAGTTGGTCTGTATTAACTTATCTATTAACACAGAGAGAAAACAGAACAGCCACTACAAGGGTCATAGGAAACAGG